CATATTTTTGAGCTTCTGTCTCAAAGCACAAGATGAAGGCTGAGACTCGATCCTGGATTATCCTTGTGGCCTGTAGGACCTGTAAGGCTCACTCTCAAATAATAGTTCGAGCATAAAAAGGGGATTTGTTTGAGCACTCCGACAGGGAACATTCCCATGGATAAACTCCGCCATTGTAGTTTTGACATAAATGAAACCAAAGCGAGATAAAAGAGCACACTAACTGGCATGTGAAATGGGAAAGGAAGACAGCGGCAGTCACGCCGCACTCATGTAGCTTGGCTTCATGCCTGCAGGCAAAGAGGACAATTTACCGTCTGTCTTTGCCTCCATGGGAATAAAACAATCACAAGGAAATGCGGTCTTATAAATGAGCAGCAAAAGGTAGGCTCCATTGTTCAGGTGGTGGATCGTTGCGAGTGATATTAAAGCCACCTCAGGTGCAATTTCACGTCTGGACTGAACAAGATGGACTCACGTGGTTGCATGTGGTGAGAGGACAGCAAATATTTACAATCAGCGAACGCTCCATCATGCAAACACCTGCACATCCTGATGGCATCCAATAAAAAAAAAGATGGATGGAAAAATTGTGCTGAGACTTGAGGAAGGCCTTCAATACACAGAGGCCACCTGAATATGTGTTAAAGTATAATCATAGATTTGTTTCAAAATGTATTATATTATTTGTGGGTTTGAAGGTAATTGCTGAAAATGGAGAATTAAGTAGCACTTAAGTAGCTAGCTGGCAAACCCTAACCACCCCAAAATACATCTTCCGTGGATGCTACAATTGACAGAACTGCTGGTCACTGATGATAGTGGCAGCAGAACGAATGAATCTATAAAATCATTTTGTCTGGCAATTTATAGAGAAATCACCGGGCCTTCACCCATTAGAAGCTGCATTTTACCTCCTTAAAAGTAAACTGAAAGCAGCAATACCCAAAATAAACAAGAACTGAAAGAGGCTGCACTAAAGGCCTGGAAAAGCTTTTCAAACAAAGAACCCAACAGTCTGGTGAAGTCAGTGGCTCGCAGCCTTGATGCAGTTATTGCAAGTAAGGGTTATCATTTGATCTGAAACCCAAATGTCTTCCAGTATACAACAAAAGCAAAGGAGCTGACCATGCCGTTGCAATACAGTACTTTTGGAGGGGACAGTGTGTGCCCTACGATTTGCTGGTGACTAGTTCAGGGTGCACCCAGCCTCACTCTCCAAGTACCTTATTGAGGATGACCACTATCGAAAATGTCATCACGACTGTGACTGGCTACAGCGAGCAGTCCCAAAGTGTTCTCCGCCTCGTGTCCAAAACTTATCTTCCAACAGTTCTGAGATGGTTGAAAATTATAGCTTACGTGCATTTTGTTGTGACAAGAACATTTCCTTTTCCAAGCATATTGAAAAAGGCTTCACCAATTATTACGCTTGCTTTTTGTTTGACCGGAAAATCAACGGCAGTATCATAATGTGGAACCCATGGCTTTGTGTTGCATAATCACCACCTGACAGGTTCGCAGAGACACCCCCCTGTCCTACCCGGTAAATTGTTTACAATGAATTCTCATTTTACCCACTGCTGTTTTCATGTTCTCGGCAAAAGCCTTGTTATTGCTCTTCCCCCGACCGAAAGGTATTCACGGTTACATTTGCTGCAAATTTGTCCCTTTGTGGTATGCGGCTGATTAAATGCTGGTTCAATGAAAAGCAATCTGCTACACTTTGGGAATTGCACTGATGTATTACTGACCTTTAATTAGTTAGCCATGCCAATTATCACCGGCAAGATGGAAAACCTTTCTTTTGTCAACCTGTTTGATTTTCGTATCACCGTGACAAATTCGGATTTGAAGCAACACAATGCGGTAGAGAATCTTGACTTATTTTGTCCAACTTGATAGCTATTGGCTATTGTCTGCCAATATAGCATCACAATGAGGACGGAGCCTTTTTTTTTTTTTTAAACATCAAAGCAGGCCTTTTTCCTGAAAAATTTCAGCAGGAATAAGAAATGAACATGGAGATTTTTGAGTCCGAATAATATCTGTCATTGGCAACGACTGCTGTAAAATGTGAAATTGACCAAACAGTGTTTCTCGTCATTGAAATTGACGAGATGGTATGTGGTTGGTATCCTTGAAGCCAGCCAGTCCAATATTCATGTAAATCCATTCTTGTTTGTAGGACCTGCTTGGGGTGAGTGCTCTGATGTTTTTGCCTTAGGCGGCCATTTAAAATTCCGGCTCGATGGTGCACGTGCGTGCCAGAGTTGCGCCTATTACAGATAATCAAATGTTGGGAAGACCTTAAATGATATGTCCTTTGAACCTCCGTTTGGGTAGGAACCAGTGCCTACCAACATATAATCACTCTCAGTTGGAATCTAACTGCATAAAAATCAACATATTGATTCCAGTCGACTCGATAAGCATCTCGCTGCTTTGTGGGGAAGCAATACATACACAAGTATAACATATGAACTAAAAGATTTCTTAAAGCGTGCGACATTTTGAAGTTTCTGGTCATCCACGCTAAATGTTGCATCAGGGCCAGGCCGTCCCACCGAGTGGAAGAGAGAGCAGCTGCGCAACAGAATTCCGATGCCAAGAAGCAGCGTGACGTGCTCGGTGCACCGCCCTCCTGCTCGGAGCAGGTCACGCGTCGAGCGGAGGTGCTGAGTTCACAACTATGGCGGGCGACTAATTGAAAATGAATCGAAGCTAGGTGAGCTCAAAATACATCAAAGGGCTGTTCTGACTGACTTACCGAGTAGGATCATGATCCAAGACTCCTTATGATAGATTCTTCTGAACAATGCAAAACTGGGTTGTGAAACTATATATAGTATCTTTGAAATCCCAAATTTCCCAATTTAGAGTGGCCTTCAGCATAACACCATGTTGTGCCACAACATGCTGGCCAGTACTGAGGTCTACGAGAAGAGATGCGGCATGTAACAAAAGGAAAAGAACAAAAAGAAGAGTCGGTCCGCATGGAATATTTTTGACAGTTTTGTTAAAATGCATTAAAGTTGCAGCTGATTGAAGGTTTATAATTAATGTGACATCTCTGGTGATTTGCGTGAGGTCGTCTATGGCCTTTTGCATTGGGTCTGGGTTGGTACGTCCTCGTTGCAATTTAAAGGTTACACTCGACTACTTCCATTTTATTCATCCGATGCCGGTTGAAAAAGAAAAAAAAAAGTGTCACCTTTCCTTTTAATTGGCTACGTATGCAACACATGCTCCTGTTAGTCCAGAGTTATGCAGGAAAGAAGAATGCACAGAATGCCAGACGCACAGTTTTGGGGCAACATAGGCAAGATGTTGATTAGCACAAGGATTTAAAAAAGAAAAGAGAGATCGGGTTATTGGTTTTCAATTTGGATCAATAGAATAGAGTGAGCCAAAAAAAAAAAACAAAACAAAAAGGCACTGAGAGCAAGTCATTTAAAGGACAAATTGAGTGCAAAGTACCTTATGCCTGGACTGTTAGCCAATCGCTATCTTATTTGGGATGAATTTAGTCGGATTTGGTGAGCAACAGTTGATATACAACAACTACATCACTTTTGCAAACGTGTAAGACGTTTTCCCAAAAGAATGCCACTAAAACAATTTTTTTTTTTTTTTAAATAACGTTCATGTAATAAAAGTCCGGAAACCATTATATTTAGCTTGACGTGCACCACTGTCTGAATAATCTTTTTTTCCCCTTTTTTTTCTCCATACAAAGACTGCAATCTTCCCTACGTTCAATTGTCACGCGATCAATTCATCCAAGCAATTTTCTTCCATTCACCCGCGTGCATGAGCAGCACCTATTGTGCGTTGAGGATTTTGACCTAGAAACTATTTTCAATAATCACCTCATGTCTTTTGTCCCGCTTCTTTGGGTTTGCTGCAAACGTTTACATTACCTGTTGTCAAAGCAATCTTAGCTCGACGGTAGCTGCGCAAAACAACACGACTCAATGCAGGACATGAATGGCCATTAACAAATAAAGTCAGGGTTTGTTTGCACATACAGTGTCTTCTTCTTGTCCTCAATACATTTTGCCCACAAATTTCTAGTAAATTCCACATGAATAACAATCTAAATTCAAATTGCTTCAATATTTACACGCACAAAAAAAAAGGGGTTAAATGCCAACGCTACAGTATGTCTGAAGACGATAAATGTAACTAATGTGATCATTTTGCGTAAATACATATACATGCAGTATGTAAACACCCAGCAGCTCCTTCAAAGATGACGTCACTGAATACTTTTACATTAATCCAACGTGCAAATGTTTGTTTGGGACATATCCTTGAAGGAAGATACAGTTTGCAATCCCCAAAAAACCTCGTACGAATACTTTGGATTGATGTCTGAATGTTAGAAATATGCTTGGCGCAGGCCTTGCACGTTGGTTTAAAAAAAAAAGATTTTTAAAAGCGACAAGCTTCACAAACAGCATCTGCATTTTGAAAGACTGGCTATTCATTATTGAGGAAAATGTCTATTAATTTTAAAATGTCGAATACATCACTGATCAAAACAACATGCCAGACAATAATGAGTTCCAATTAATTTACTCATAAATCGGGATGAAAATTATATAAATTATTGAAAACATGGAGGTTGGGGGGGTGGGTGGAATCCAAAGTTCAATTAATTAAACAAAACAAACACGGGCACACAAGATGGCTCTTTCATCTCCTGATATTCACAACTCAACAAAAACACACATTTCCCAAAACACCGGTTGTCACAAAGACTACACGACCATTTTCGCACCAGGCGGCCATGACACCCGCTGTGGGCTCTGTGAGAGGGAACATCTTAGGTAATCTATGCAGACATCTGTGGTGACTCATTGTGAAATCATTTAAATGCGCTTATAAAGAAATCTCTCTGTTTAGCGTCTTGCCATGCCAACCGACGGCGGTTCCGTCAGACTTCCGCAAGAGGGACACCACCTCCCACCGACAAAAGCCAAAAGTCTACTTACGGTCACTGCAGAACGGCCCCTTGTAGGTCGTCATGGTGCAGTCGCAGGAGAAGCCCTCCCAGAGCTGCAGACACACTCCCTGGTGGTGGCACGAGTCCTCCGTGCAGGTGGTGCTGGGACCTACACGGTGATGACGCAAAACACATACTTTGGATTTACGAGGCTGCCTCTTCATTTCGTATCATTCAAAGACTTATTTGACGGATACAGTACATACCCAGACTAACCCCAACATTATGACTTGAAATAAAATAGTCGTGATATGTGGTTGCTTGACAATACTATGGATGTGTGTGGGGTTAAAAAAAAAAAAAAGATTGCATAAATTTTACCGAAGGCTACCCAACTGAAATGGGAAAATGGGACGCTGAGCACTGTTGGGATTCACAGTTTTTTTTTTTTCTTTGTCACGCCTCACCTCCGCAGCCGTGATCCACCTCGCCCACCTTCTGAAGGGCGTCTGCCAACAGATCGGGGAGTCTTCCGTTCAAGTCCACCGATGCCAGGCAGCCCTTGTAACCTTCGCGGGACGCTATTAGTCGAGGCAGGCTGCTGTACATGCTCTTCCCGACACCTCCGATGTACAGCTCCCCTGTAGCATCGAAGGCAGTTTGTAATCGAGATGTTTAAATGTCTTGGGCGGAAATAACACAAAGACAGTCCTATTTATAAATTGTAATCAGTGTTCAAATAACTCACCCTTCAAATCCAGGTTACGAGCTCCGTTGGCGTGCTGGGTGACGGTACGGACGTCGATCTTAAGCGTGTGCACGTTATTGTTGTCACGGGAGATGACCACGTTGTGCCAATGGTTGTCATTGAGCGGCTTGTCCGAGTTTCCTTTCATCAGCGACGGGCCGTTTCCCAAGTCAAAGACGTAATGGATGAACCTGCAGTGAGGACACCCACGTTTGTTTCCGACCGTCACTTGTCATCTCCCGTTACGGCTCCCGATAAGAGATGCTCATCTAAGGGCTTCCGTACCACTTTTGTTGTGGTCAAAGGTTCAAATGCCACACGTGGCAGTAATTTGCGTCTCTCACATACTGTATGTAACAATGTAAGAAAATGTAAAACAGGCATATTATATTATTAGATTGTTTACACTGAAAAGTGGTTATATAGGTTAGCATTTCTATACAGGGTACGCGTGGACAGTTTGCTTATAGTGTCCATACGTCCTTCTTCCCTGCCGCTTGTCCTCATTAGCATCTCCGGTGAGCCGCATTCTATCCAAGTTGACTTTGGGCGAGTGAGACTTAGCGTGCACCCCGGACTGTTTGCTAACCAACTGCAGTGTTTAGATTGTTACGTTGATAATTGTATAGCATAAAAATATGCATTCGTTGAATAAATGTCGTTTGGTCTTTTGATTAGTATTTGATATCGGTGTGCTGCCAATAGCAAGTGGCTACATGACACAGGGGGAAAAAAAAAATCCCAAATAAAATCCCCGGAAACTGCCACGGAGGTGTTCTAAGCCTTTATTTGTCTCTAAAGGAGCGAGTTCTAGTGCCAAGCAGGACTTCAGACGGACTAATTGCTTCCTGGAGAATGTTTGTGCGATGTTTGCCAGAGGGAAACTATACTTTCCTCTTTCTTGTTGAATCACAAAAGGGATCAGAGTCATCACGTCTATTCCCCACCGTTCCCCTACTTAGGTGACCGGACGCCTGTGACTGTTTCAAGGTGAAAGCTTGTGCCTTTTTTTTTTTTTTTTGGTCACGGTGTCTGAAAAATCCACCTTTCCTTCAATTTCCCCTAAGCGGGTAATATGTACTGGTGCTTTGCATTTGTAATGTGTTGAAAGCTTTGCAATAAGACCTGCGGAAATGATTGGTAAACAACACCCCAACATTTTTTTTTTTAAATGGGTTGTGCGTCTCTTTCCAATCGGTATGTATCTCGATACCATTCACGGAGTGGTACAATTCAAGGACGGGAGATTTTAAGGTGGAGTGATTCTATTTGATTCAACACATTTAAATGACAACCAAATTTCCCATTCAAATCAGGTTTGGTTGCGCCCGCGGAACGTTGCTGAAAGTACGCTCACCCTTTGACCAGCTCGACCACAATGAAGTCACTCCCGTCCCCGGAGTTGTACAGTATGAGCCCGTCAGGACTGGTGGTCTTAAACTGGAAGAACAGGTGCATGGAGGCGTAGGCTTGCAAGGTGGAGAAGGCCAAGTAGCTGGCCTGGGTCAGGAAGGTCACAGGGTTCGCCACGATGTGCCTCATGCCGAAGCGCGCGTTCAGCTCGCAGTAGGAGATGTCGCCGTTCTTGCACTGGTCCAGGTAGAGCATCCCGTTGAAGGAGAGGGCCTGCAGGTGGCCGATGAAATTGGAAGGGATGACCGAGGTGAACCGGCGCTCGGTCATGATGCCCGTCTCGATGTTGTTCAACTCCAAGCGGGTGTGAGCGCCGCTCATGAAGCCTGGAGAAGAGCACGATGTGTCCTCAGTGTCACGTGCGCTTTGATTTCCACGACCTGAACTTACCTTCTGCGGTGACGTTGTCCACGGAGAGCTGCAAATGTTTCCCCCGGCGCACCACCTTTACCGCGTGCCACTCATTGTCATTCAGCTTGTCGCCCAGCAGGAGTACCTCGGGTCCTTTGCCTAAGAGGTGGAGAGCGTCAAGTGTGACAATTACGTCGAATGAGCCCGGTGTCCCCCCTCTTATCAGACGCTATTCTCAAAGTGAACAATGCCACTCACGCCGCGTGCGTTCATTCACATCGCTCTTGCAACCAATAATTTCTACTCAATTTACGTTTAAAGGTGCGAAAGGAAAACAGGAACTATTTTATACTTCTGATGAACTCGAGGGCTAAGATGAGAGGTATGATTTCGATGGTCGAATTGTCAGAACGATTACACAAACCGAGCGGCCAATTCCGACACAACTACATTGGAGAGGTCGTGCATGTGATGAGTAAGAAAAATCGCTGCATTGAGTCACGACGGAGTCGTCATTCCTGTCACACTAAATGTATTATCATGTGCGATACTTAATTTTCCGAGGAAAACACAGTGCTCGGTGTCTTTTTAGCGAAACCTCCAAGTGGAGAACATAGACCGCATATGAAAATCCGCAAGTTATGCCAAGCCTTTTCCGTGGCTTACTAGCCGCTTTCAAAATAGGTCACGGCGCAGAAGCTTCCGCTGCAGCACCGTCACCCTGAATCAGTGGCGGCGCAACAGGCCGACATGCCAGTTCAAAGGAGTTCTGACATCGCTTGGGAAACTAATTGGCCATGCCGAAGCTCGACTGCGCCTTGAGGGGTTTGTCTCTCTAATTGAGCTCCGGGTGCACAATTACCGGGGACGCACAGAGGACAATAAATGGGAAAACATCAAGTGGTTTCCGCACACCTTGCCGATTCATCCCCAGGGAGACAAAAGCGTGAGTGGGGAGATTTCGGAACATTGCTGCACGTAAGACGTATCGTGTTATCTTTACAACGCTCCACATGCATCACTCCCCCACCCTGAACAGCATCGACTGTGCATGGGTCGATCGAATGCCTGCTCTCCGCTATATTTGATGGATTGTCTCCACTGTTTGAAAACCAAGCAGACGGCGGAATAATGTGCAACACCAAGGCTAAAACATTGCCGGTTCAAATGTTTATCATTAAAAACATTAAGAAGGCTTTATTTGAGGAAGTGAGCGAATTGAGCGGAGCCAAATTGGGCGTATTTTGGTTTCTCTGTGAGGGTCGCACTGAAGGTTGATGGCATTTTGTATTTTGAAAGGCTGCAGCAAACATAAATTCTTTTAACAAGTGACAATAAATAGACCTCTCTTCATTATCGGCACCTTTTTAACTTATTTTCTTGTGCTTTGACACAAGCGCGTGAGTGCAATGAAGAGAAGTTGCATGCGTTTTGATCTCCGCTTAGATCCGTATCGGATTGACAAAGAAAAGATGACTTCAAAGATAGTGTGTCTTTTTTTTTTAGGTCAACTATAAGAAGGAGCTGAGACTCTAAAAGCCAGAATCAAATTATCCCGATTATGTAATTTTGTACAATCAAACGCTCTGATCCTGATCTGCTAACAATGCCTACAATGGCTCCAGCAGTGATTGGCTTGTGAAGATGAGACAGATGGGCTGTGTCCTCTAAAAAACAAAAGGAAAAAACCCCAGACTAGACCCTGCTTAAATGATGTGAAGTCTTCATTCTGTAATCAAGTTGCTGTAAACTATAATTCCCCCCTAAATGATATCAGTTAAATAAATTAGGCAGCTAATTGCATGATTTAAATTTGCCTCTCATTTCCCCTCCTCATCAAATTCTTCCACGAGACAGCCATCCATCGATACATCTGCATCTGCAACTTTAATAAACTCATTTGGTGATAAATTGCAGTGGCCACACGCGATGAGAAATCAGACAAGTGCACATTCTTTTTCGCTACGTGTTGGTGCAGTGCCACCTGCTGGAGCAGAGGGGAATTTAATTGGCTCAGGCTTGAAACGAAAACATCCCCCCCTCCCCAAAAATAAAACGATAACGGGGAATTTCTGTACTACTTTTGAACACACTTTTCTCCTTTACCTCCATAAATATATACACACACATATCTGAACACACACACAACTTACCTGCTGATGATTACAAAACAAAAACATTTTAAACCAATACGGCATTGTTTGGAACCTTAGCACTTATTCTAGCAATTATATAGATTAAAAATGAATAGATCAACTTGAGTCTCACAAAAAAAAAAAAGTCATCGTGAGATTAACTTGTAGTGTGGGATGTGTTCTTATTTCGTGGTTTCTTTTTTCCCCCGGCAGGGCTGGTAATCGTAAATGTTAAACCAGTTCAATATAGAAATCGGAGTCAACTACGACAGACTTCTGGTTTGAGGGAGGTGACTCCTTCCCGATTCAAGAGTAAGATCACAATTTAGAGTTTTGACAGTTTGACTACGAACAATTGTTAACTTATTTTAACACTTGACAGTGACATGACACCGAAGAATATATTGTCACTTCAAATGTCCATTTGATCCTTCAATGGAGTTACAGATTAGCAAAATGGACCAGTTGAGGTTCTGTTTAAGTGTTGCATGCACCTCCACATAAATGTTACAAAATGACTGGGAAATAGCTTTAGGCTCGAATTCGGGAGTATTGTGACTGATGACTTTTTGGCAAAATCCATACATGGTCAATACCGTAGATCAGGGGTCCCCAACCGCCGGTCCGCGGACCGGTACCGGTCCGCAGGGCATTTGGTACCGGGCCGCACAGAAAGAACTTGCCTTATTTCCGTTTTATTTATTTCGGAATACGAAATGTGTTTTATTTTGAAAAATTACCGGATTCTCTGTTACATCCGTCTGTGTCACGCTTGACTCACGTCAAGCCACACTTCT